CCCATTCCGACCGCACTTCCTGGTAATGTATGGTGGTGAAACTCCCACGGACTTGGCTGCATGAATATACGGATACATTGAAAGTCTTTCTTTTTTAAAATTCCAGTTTTTGAATTGTATTTCATTGCAAGTAACTAGCCTCCTCAGGATTAGCCTGGGTGCCATCCTCCGTATTTACTTTTGGAATTTCTTTGTCTATGGTTTTGATTTTTGTCAATATTAAATACAATACTATGTCAAGCTGTTTAAATTTGAGGATACATTGAAAGTCATTTTCTTTTTAAATTCCAGTTTTGGAATTGCTTTGTCAATGGTTTTGATTTTTGTCAATATTACATGGAATGCCATGTCAAGCGGAAAGAAGGACTCATTCAAAATTCCAATTTTCCAGGCAGGTGGTGAGAATAGAATTACGTTCACACTTCTGCACACTGCCACTCTCCAACAACTCCCAGTGCATAAGGCACTCTGTGGCAGACATGTGAAACAATTCCCATTAAACTTATCGCAGATGCTAAGTAAAGTCTAACTTACGTATCCCCATGAAAATGCAAACTACTCAAAGGCTCTCAAAAAAAAGTGTGTGATAAAAGTGAGATAAATTCAGAGACATATGAACATAGTTGGAGTTGGAATATGTTCCATGTATAAATCGAATGAAGGTAAATCGGCATTTCGGATGCCGACATATTCCAGAATGCCCAAATTTAAACCTATTTTTTCCTTTGAAGAGGTTCATCATTCACGTAAGATTAATAGTTAGTTAGTAGAATATTCATCAATCAGTGACTAATTTCGTGTTCTCGCGAGACTAGGTCACTCCGAGATCAAGATGTACAGTCTACATCGAAAATTTAGAGGTACGTATTTATACCTTTCTAAAACAATCACTGGTTGATGCATTTTGCTTTTTCTTTATTTTTATTCCTTTGCAATTCCATGAACAGTTGCATTAGCGACTGTTTTCCCTTCTAGTCATACCGCTTGAAACAATATGATTCAGCAACGCTACAGAAAGATTCGGATGTAATGGAATGACATCCATTTCAACGTAAATATACGGTTTCCTCTGATGGCCGTGTGTGCTCTTGTCTTCCCATGATGGGATTTGTACCATTAGACAAGATTGCATTCGATGCAATTGTTTTCAATGATGGATATGATAGCGTTAAGCTCCAGGGATTCCTCCTGTCCATTTATGCGTTTCTAAATGATAGCACCATTATTTAGGATATATAAAGGAAAAAAAAAACAGGGGCTTGCACTGACATTAAGAAATCCCCATAGGAAGCAACTATGTTGTAAAAAAGGGTACAGATGATGTTTATGAAAAAAATTTCTATGAATTATCATCTTATGTTAGAAAATTATGTTTTACTACTGTTATTCCGGATTCAGCTGATATTATGTTTTAAATCATGGTGTAAAATGTTGTCTCCATATTTCTGTAGAGTATTGTATTACTTTAGGCATGCATGCTCAGCATTAACTTCGGTATTAAGGTCATAAATACCAAATAATTGCATGCTTATTAAATTATGGACTCTTTATTCTGCATATCATCTCATAACGTATTACGAAAAGTATTACGGAAAATTAAAACAATATTTTGAAACAGTTTGAACTAGTGACAACGAAATAATTAAAATTAAATATTCAAGAAGCTTGAATGTGTAGTCACCAATGGCCATATGCTCGATCTATGCATTGTATAAGCCGGTTCACCGTTTCAACTGGGCATTGGCAACGTCAAAGCTAAGGTAAGTGCTCAAAACCTGGAAATAGTTTGTCTTTACCATGCTTGATACCATGTGCAGGTGTTTTTCTTGAGTTTCTTCCTCTTCTCCAACAAAATAAGGTCAATGAACTGAACCAGAGGTCTGTCACCATGGTAACTGGCGTTGGGTTACATAATGTTGCAAGTGCCATGCAGAACTGAGTTCAATAGGGGCTGCGTGGTCACCATATATATTTCAGACAGAACAAAGCTTGTTAAGCTCGGCCATGTGGAGGTAAACATAATGCATTTGCTTTCTAGTGTTTTGTTTTTTCCCCATGCGCATTCAGCGTCTGTATATTGTCCACATGAAATGAGTAAATAACTTGTGAGATCGAGAATGACGAAATAACCTAAACGCTAGAGAAAACATAGTAAGGGGAATGATTGATAATTAAATCGAATCCAGTAACCCACTGATCCGGTTAACTATAGGCTAAGATGTCTCCTGTCTAATTATCATGCATCATTACCTGTACTCGTAGGCTTTGTTATTCTGTAATTGTTATTCTGTCTTACATGCAAATGCAATACCTTTCGCCATGTTATCTTTGACAGAGTACCTATTTGTTTTATATTGTTTTATATTTTGTTGTTTCTACATAAGATAACTCGAGAAGGCATGGATGGTTGTTCATTTCAACATCATTTTAGGCCGAGTGCAATTTTGGCCCATGGAAGAAGTAATTAAGTTTTTTGGCCCAACCAGACCAGTAATTATTCCTAAAATTCATAACCATTAAGTACCGATGGCCTTTACTGTAGACTCGGCCATTCATAACCATTGGAAGGCGGCGCGGACCCATCTATATGTATAGTGATCACCAAAAGTAGGCTAGTCCGACGAATTTACTTATTTCTCAGACTACACGAGGAAGCCAGATGATGAATGTTGAGAGCAAAGAGTTAAGATAGGTGTTGATGAGTGCTGAATACTAAAAACGCCATGAATCTTTCAACACCCTGGGGCGAGGGCTCGCGAGTTCTATGTGATTTCCCTCACATCTATCTAGCATATAGTGTACATAGCTTAATTTCAGTGGATCATTGGCATCATTATCGCTGAATAGTGATGCTGGTAATCAAGGAATGGTGATCCTTTTACTTGATTTTATAGAACGTAAGATAATATTACTCTTGCAAATATTTCTGCACTATTGCAAGACCTGAGTGGGACATGACTCTAATTTCCAGCATACATACAGCAAAGATAGCTTGAATTTAGTGATAACAACGTGGTTTATTACTACTATCATTGATAAATAGTAACACCAATGATCGAATATTTCAGATCATTTTATTGATCTGAAATACCCATTTATATGTATAGTACAATATTTTTAAAAAATTTTCTGCACTACTGTAAGACCTGAGTTGGAGATGACTGAAATACGAGGATTACTGGTCTGCAGGTGATATACTATCTCTGCTGTGGGTATGCCTCAGACATATGTTAGCTATGTCCTTGATGCGTTTGCCATGCTAAAAGAGAACATTACCTGGTCCCACACATCATTTTTATGACCCCTTCATAGGGACGAGCATGTAGATTTCCCTCAGGGCCATTTGTTCTTTGCTTTTTTTTTGTAAAGTTCTTACCAAAGTCATGTAAGTTTACTCTCCAAGCAGAGGTTGTGGGGGAATGATCGTTAGCTTTTTATATATGGCCTTTTTCTTGTCGCTACCCCCACCAACCGTTGGTGGCTGGCGACCTTCTATGGCTAATAGGTACTGCCTGACCAATTTGATACTGTCTTTTGTCACTGAAAGGGATCTGCTTGGAGATTAATGAAGTTCTATTCACGGGATAGCAAACCTAGCAAGAGAAACAGCTGATAATAGCAAAACCTGAATTATTTACAATTGAACAGCAATATTTCATCTTGAGTGGACAAACTTAGGCAGAGCTGCAGCAGTTTGAAAAAAAAATTAAATTAGAAAACAATGCCAAAGTTGCACTGCAATCAAAAATTATAATCACAATTTATAATGTTATCAGCACCACTTGAATAAATAAAAATATACATATATATATTATAAAAGAAGGTAAACAGGTGCACACACGCAACAGATAGTGAAACATTGACACTAAATGAACCGCCACACATATAGGAAACCTGGTCTCAACATCATGGGCTACGATTTGATTAATGGTAGATGTGTATGATTCATTTTTCATTACTTCATGATCTTGATTGTTTTTATCTAATGTTATTACACACGCGTCCTTTAAGTTACATATAGGAGTTTTATACGTTTTTTTTTACTCTTCATTTCCCACTGACATTGCGTGACTACGGTATACCCTTATCGAGTGGGCGTGGCCCCAAACAATGTAACGAGATTTCAATAATGATTAAAGTCATCACGTAATCGATGACAGTACCGTATATCCGCTATCAAACGTAGATATTTCCACTCAGCAGCGGCATGCTTCAATTTCGCGGGGGAAATTGGTTCGGGACATCAACATATCCCCTGTCCTCCGCAGTATCAGATCTGTGAACGCGCATATATTCTACATACTGCTGAGAAACAGTGTGGAACTCACACATAGGGAGACTTGTGTGCTCGTCTCGGTGTCAACAACTTTGAACCAACTTAGGTGAAAATGGGTCTCGAATAATTGTACGAAGTGTCTTTGATAGATGGACTTGCCGTGCGTTGCATGACGGCTTGATTTTTAAAGTTGTAAGTCAGCACTGCGTCAGCTGGGGCCTCTGATTGGTTCAGACGTGATCAACGACATGTTTCAGAAGCACCTATTGGAGGAGGCAAACCAACACTCAAGTTATATCAACTTATTTTATGCCCTCACCAACGCAAATAGAGGACAAATAATACGGAACAGGACAATACTCATTTTCACTTGAGTTAAGCGAGGAAAGTCGTGCAAAGTGTCTTTCCCAAGGACACAAGATCGGTGGCATGTCATGACTCGAACCCGGGACCTCTTGGTTCCGAGTTGAGCACTCTGCCGCTACGCCACACGAGTCCACAAACGCATGACGGCTTGTTATCGCGCATCTGAGGACGTCAGGTGACACGGGAAGGGATGTGACAGGAAGGTTGCTACAAGGGGATTCTGAAATATGGTTGTATGTTTTCTGCGTAAATAATTAACCACTGGGGAACAAGAAACTAATGGCCATGAATAACGGAAAGGGATATGTAATAAATGCGGTAATAGCGGTGCGTTTCTCACTACAGCTCGGCACCAGGTGGGGAGAGTGGCGGGGGAGACCGGCTCTTCTAGAGTTAGTACTGACGTAGGACGTGATAAATGGTCTATCTGCAGCAACTCAAGGTAAGAACTTTATTTCATTTTCCACTCTTCCCACCAAGTAACAGTGCAATGTGAACTATGCATCAAGTAACATCTAGCGTCAGTGCACAGTAAACCAGTCAGAATTGCCCTGATGAAGATGACAGACGGTCATCTATTTCATTTTTCTTACATAACACCAGTCTAACTTTTTTTATCTGAGTAGCGTGCAGTGTGTGGTAGGAGTTTGAGTTTTTTATGCTTTTTATTCGGTGATTTGGATTCTAGATATAAAGCTTGTCACGCAATGAAAGCAACCGGCTGGCAATGATACAAAGTGCATATATTGAAGACTCGCAATGCTCAGCTCAACTTCATTCAATACTCCACTACTTTTCTGCAAGATAAAACAGTGTATTTGCGTCGTTCCTTTTATTGGCTGCACTTGGCGTTTGATTGATAAACTTTTTAAACTTCCAGCTTGTCTTAGAGAGAAGAGAGTTCCTCAGTGCTCCGTTAAAAAGACGTTCTGATAGACAAGGCAGTATTGATGATCACAAATTAAACACCACCACCAAGTCAGGACTCGAACCCGGGACCTCTTGATTCCGAGTCGAGCACTCTGCCGCTACGCCACACGACCCACACTTGGAATTTGATAGATAAACTTTTCAAACTCCCAACTTGTCTTAAAGGGAAGAGTAGTTCTCAGTGTTCCGTTAAAAAGACGTTCCGTGAGACAAGGCAGTATCGGTGATCACAAATTAAACACCACCAAAGATGATGAAAATAACGATCTCCACTAAATAACGTAAGCACCACTGTGACCTTTCTCATGGTCCGATGCTGTTGAATTTCCCCGAACATACGGTGGTTGGGCAAATCCATAACGCATCTCAAGATGTACTTTCTTTTCATTGTTCCTTCCTCTAGCTTGACTGAGCACACCGCTTGTTCTACTCCTCAGGCTTATGAGAAACCTTCGCGTGACGCACCGAAAATCAATAAAGGCTCAAGTAATAGCGGTAGGTAGGGTATGACTTACCGGGGGATCGCCTGTTGCTAATGTTCTCCGACAAGAAAATTAGATCAATCGATGGATATTAAAACTTGTTCTGTTCAATAAAGTAGAGAACCGTCCAAAATCATTAGGTTTAATGAGCAGGAAAGAGAGGTCATGAGGATCAGTTCCAAATGTCCGTAACTTCTAATGAAGGATGCGGTGTTTAATAACTGTGAAATACGACCTGGATGGTGTGTCATTAGAGAAAGGCGTAGCGACTTAGGGATCTCCTAGTCAGACATCCGCAGACTCCTGATGCTGATCAGGCCACTCCAATTTAATTTGTTGGTTCTCGGATTTTTTCATAGAAAAATATGAAGCGACAGGGCGAAAAAATGAAATAAAACAGGTCAAGGCATCCTATTATAGCTCCAAATGCAACGATAGGAGCCATGTCGTCAACACAAGAGGCTGTGGAACTTTTAATAAAACCACTGCATTGATGATGGAAAAACTGTAACAACTATCAAGAAAAAGACTTCCCTCAACTGTTGGGGGCAAAATATGAGCATTTTTTAGTTGATTCATTTTTAGTTCATTCTTTTTTTAGTTCATTCTTTTTTTTTTTTTGCATATCAGAAAAAGGAAGAGGCGAACCCGAGAACCAACAAATTAAATTGGTGTGGCCTGAGTTCGGACTAGCGGCTTACGCATTTGCTCGTCAGATATCCGCAGACTCCTGATGTTGGTCAGGCCACTCCAATTTAATTTGTTGGTTCTAAGATTCGCCTTTTCCTTTTTTTCTGATTTGAAAAAAAAAATGAGAAAAGATTTAGGTTCTGAATCAACTGCAAAATGCTCAATCAAAGACATATTTTGACCCCAACAGTTGACGAAAGCCCTTTTCTTCCTAGTTGTTAACGTTTTTGAATGTAACAAGCAACTTTGTTTCATTCAAAGTTCAAAACTATTGTTTTAATTGTAAACCAGCCTGGTGTGTTAACTTCATGGCTCATATCGTAACATTTTCGGCCTTCAGGGGTGTCTTGGTGTGTGTTTTTTTCGCCCTGTCTCTTTATATTTTTTCTGGAAAAAAATCCGTGAACCAACATATCAAATTAGTGTGGCCTAAGAGTGGTAAGAATTAGCGCTGAGTTCGGACTAGCGGAGGTGTCGACGGGCCAATTTGCCTTCCGCTGTCCGAAAATCACATCAATCCGCTCGCCTTGCAAACAGCGGAGGTCGGCTGCAGGATCCATTGAGGTGCGATGACCGGTAATGATCTGCAAGGCAGTGATAGAATTGCCAATTTGTAGAGAGTTGCCGCCAATCCCGCGTATGAATAACTCGGTACTCAAATCAAACGGCGGAAATTTGGCTTCATTTTGTGATGGACGCTCCTCCCTAGATCAATGATTTACGTCAGTAATGTAAATACGTCAGCGATAGAGGCCTGTATACGTACTGCTTACGGCGTGACCGTTTCTCTAGGTATGTAAACGCAAATCTGATTACCTATTTGTCAAGTATATCCAGGCTATTGGCATTACTCTGGTTTAGAATGCTGTTTTTCTGTGACTGAATGCTGCAGCGAATATTCACCACAATGAACCTAAAGGTAAACTAAAATGTGACAGGCTGAATAAAAGTTCTAAACGGGAACTATGCGGCTCCAGATGTCTTACTGAGGGACGACTGCGTGTGCAAGATGTCGGTAGCTTGAGGAATGAATCCCCTCTACTATATACGGTAAACTAAAATATGATTATCCATTTGTCTACTAGAGGCGGGCTATTGGTTTAGACTTTTGTCTTGCTCTCTTTGAAGGCTGCGGCAAATATTCACCGGGCTATTGGCATCACTCTGGCTTAGATTTTTGTTTTTCTGTGTCTGAAAGCTTCAGCTAATATTCACTACAATGAATGATGCTCAAAAATTAGAGCCTGGCTATTGGCAGAACACTGGTTTAGAATTCTGTCTGTCTGTCCCTCTCTCTCTGAATGCTGCAGCGAATATTCACCACAATTAAGGATGCTCAAAGAATAATATGAGGCTCAAAATATGATTACCTATTTGTCTACTAGAGACGGGCTATTGGCATCACTGGTTTTGGAATTTTCTATCTCTGAAAGGTGCGGCAAATATTCACCAGGGCTATTGCCAGTATTGGCATCATTCTGCTGTAGACTTTTGTTTTTCTCTTTCTGAAGGCTGCGGCGAATATTCTACCCAAAGAAGGGTGCTCAAAGAATAATATAAGGATGCGGCCCAAAATATGATGATTACCTATTTGTCTACTAGAGCCGGGCTATTGGCAGCACTCAGGTTTTGAATTTTGTTTTTCTTTCTCTGAAGTCTGCAACGACAGCGAGTATTCACTACAAAGTGCACGAAGGATGCTCAAAGAATAATATGAGGATGCTGCCCGAAATATGATTATTATTTGTCTACTAGAGCCTGGCTATTGGTAGCAGTCAGGTTTTGAAAATTGTTTTTCTAAGGCTACAACGACAGCAAATATTCACTACAAAGTGCATGGAGGATGCTCATAGAATAATGTGAGATGCTGTCCGAAATATGATTACAATTTGTCTACTAGAGCCTGGCTATTGGTAGCACTCAGGTTTTGTTTTTCTGAGGCCACAACGACAGCGAATATTCACTACAAAGTGCATGAAGGATGCTCAAAGAATAATGTGAAGATGCGGCCCGACCCGTTTCCGCTTCACAGTGCACTAAAGCGTTAAATTTGGATAATATTGGAAAACGTGAGGGGGCAGCGGGGAATGATAATGCATCATGGCAAGCCGTCACATCATTTCCAGCACGCCCTGCTTTGCTTGCGTTAACTCGAGTCATCTCGGGAGTCTACCAAGTTTCTAATTGGCCTCTTGCCTCCACGGGAAACACTTTTGCTGCGCGAAATTGCGCGACGCGTCCCATCTATTTGTATCCAGCTACCCGTCTGAAGATAAAAACGTGTAAAGCATAGCGATTCTGGGGTGAAACTCCCAGCGTTGATGCGGCATAATCCCCCTCAAACGACATTGCTCATAAAGTTTTTCTTCATTTCGGCGTACTTTATTACGTTGGCAGTAACATTGCTAATATATTCCCAGCATTAGCCGTGACATTGTAAACATGAATACTGTTTTTATGTCTAACTGCAAATAGGGCGAGCGGGATAATAACAATAGCACAACTTTGGTACGGTTTGCTGCCGTAAAAAAACGTGTTTGAAAGACAGATGCTTTCCAAATGTGACTACTTTACGTTCCAATACAAGTACTGTTACTCTACTACTACAGTATTATTAGATATAGATAAGCCAAAACATTGATTTATTGTAACACTATAAATTCTAATAATGATTAACATTTTAGGGTTGGCGTCTTGTTATCTGTGGTAATGCAAAAGCCAGTCAGAAGTAGATTAATATAATCAGTGATCCTTGTGAATTCCGAACATGAATGGTTATATTATTAAATCTATCTGAAATGGGGTCGTTGTAATACAAATCCTGTCTCTGTCTGGCCGCGGCACGATAACGTTTAACAACCCCAGTCTTCAGTACGAGATTTGTATACGTCTTTTACTAAGTGTCTAAAACTTTCGCCCCAAAGTTTTCGTTTCGTTACTCGCACAACCAGATATTAAAGTTGTGTAGGAAAGTTGCCAACAAAGCTCATTTAATCTAATGCACAAAATTGTATTATGTAACTTATTCTGTACATAAATTTACAAGTTTGCAAAATTGTATCTTAATGAAATTATTATTAGAACCCCAAACGCTCCACGCTGTCACTTCAATATATAGTTTATAACAGTGAGTAAAGACGTCGTCTTTTTCTTCCCAATACTTCTTCTTCCCAATTCGTGCAAACCTCAATTGGTTGAGGGCTCCAGCACGGTAGGGGTGGGGTTACTGGATGGGGTGGTCGCTCGTACAAGTTTTGTGTGTGTATGTTGTTGCCTGCAGCTCCTCAATGGGCAGGGGCGCCACTCCCTGTCCGCCACTGAGGGCAGGGTGGTGGTGAGTACCCGTAACTGTTGTTCAGAACGACATGGTGCTAGTGGCATTCTTGAAGGCCTGTAATGTCTTGGCTTTAACATTATTTTCTGGTAGACGGTTCCACTCCCTAACTGGTCTAGAGAATAACAGTAAGCAAGCAGTGTATAACAGTAATGCATATTAGCAAATGTTTCTCTGATATTAACGCATATAGTATTCGTCAGTACCCCAGTAATCACTCTTGCCGTAGCCAACTTTGATGTCGGATAACGTCCGAACGGCTTGTGCTAGAGCCACCAAACTTGGTGACTTTTCCTAAAATATTGTTGCTAACAATTTCATAGCAGTGAGATAAATTTATAATTTTTCGTGTTACCATGGCAACGGATTTCTGACAGGCATTTTTTTTGCGCAAAATTCAGTAATTCTGTTTATAGTATTCGTCAGGACCCGGTAATCACTCTTGCCGTAGCCATCCCGGCTACCCGCGCCCGTGACGGATGGTTTGGAGAAGGCTGGAGGTGCGACCGATCGATTGGCGCTTCCATGCAATATTGGAAATCCCTTTGATGACCGTGGATGTTGCTGTTGTCAGAGACGCCTCCTGAGAGACGCACCCAGACCATTTCTGCGTAGCGCGGAGGAACTGATTTATCTCCGTAATGCTGACAGCTTCATGCGTTTCCCGAATAATCGTGCATATTCCTTTGCATGATGCACCCAGGGAGCTCTTTAGCACATATATGACCCTAACCTTTTCACCTTTTTTTTATAATGCGCCTTTCATAGGATGTCATGAATTGTTTTAGTTGGACACCATGTCGTTTGTGCTGATCAATATCAACGTAAGGTGTTGTGCTCGATGCATCATAAGTCATCATGTGTGAACAACTGGTTTGCATGCTCAGTAGGTGTCGCATGGTTTATTGCTGTATGACGCTGAAGTATTGTAAACACAATATTTCATTTCGTCTCGATGAGTGATGATGTGCTTTACCTGGTTTAAATTGCAGCTTATGTTTTTATTTGCATATCATATTGTATTTGTTGTAACATTTTTATTCAATACCTGATTCAAATAACCTTTTCAAACTGCAAATATGGTTAAAGAAACAATTTCAATCTAGTTTGAAAAATGTTAAGTATCTGGTATAGGCCCTTTAGGGTGTAGGCCCTTTACTTTGGCCCTAATGCATTTGAACAAAAAATATATGCTTTTACCCGCTAAAATCAGGGGCTATAAATACAGGCTATAATCTGAAATCCATATACCTGTGGCAGGAAATCTTTCATAAAATAGTGCACCTTTTGGCTGTGCTATGGCTGTTGCGAAACTTCAGGTTTATAGATAGCGATCAAGTTAAGAATATTCATGAATAATGTCATTTTGTGTAGATCTGTTGTTTTTGGATTAACTCTGCAGAACAGTCGTCAGACAGATTATTTGTCTTTTATTGTGTTTGACGATTCAAATCCCCTGTGTCAAATTCGGGATCAACTTATCGTGGTAGAATAACAATTTGAAGAATCTGGTTGAACGTATTGTAAGAATTCTGGTAGGTTTAATATCAAAAGGATTTCCCGATACGTTGCAGTGTAGCCGCGGCACGCACCGCTGAAAACGTTATTGCATATAACCCGGTCGCCACTTTCTGGCCAGCTCACGTTCTGTGTTGGTAGCTTTGTTATCGGGCAGATGATCCCAGCAAAATTCCCCGGTGGCGAAAATCCTCAAGCCAGCGGCCCCCTCCTCCAGGATTCGGCAGATAATTACGTCCAGAATTGACTGCACTCGACCTATAGAGGACATGGGGATTTAGACATGTATTACCCATAGCTTCGAGTTCGGAGCACTTAACTTCTGAGCCATCTGGGGGCAGGCGATCAATAGATACAGCACCTTTCAGAGCTGTTTGTGCTTATCCAGAAGTGGAGCTGTTTAGAAACTAAAAGCTAAAAGTCACTCTATTAAAGTACACTGTAATCCACCACATATATAAAGTTGCGACAAATTATCCAGAGGGCTAGAAACTGACCTGAGATCTGAGGTATGCCCTGGTAAAATAAATAAACTTGAAACGGCATGTACAATGATGTATAAACTCCTTTTTTTCAAAAGTTAGTTTCAGCTAAAGCCCAAGTAATATAGAAGAAGGGGATGCTATTCCGGACTATCTATGATATAACTGTGTTGGATATCAAAGCGTAAGCCTGCATTCATTTACGTCAAGGCACATGCTTCGGGGAATGTAAAACGTTGAAGGGTCAGCTAATACACAAAATTTTGAAAGTTACATGTTGCAGCTGACTGAAGTCTGAAACTGTAATTACACCATTTCCATATCTGAGAATCATTCTTCACCTCCCGGCTCCCCTCTCATTACCAACGCATTGATCACTGGATAAAGCATTGACCTGGTTTATCTGCATGTAAAACGGTCGAACGCTAAAGAACGAGACTGAAATTATGACTGTAATGTTTTACTGCTTCAATTTGGCGCATTTTATTTCAGTTTTAGCAGTTTAAAGGCATCCTATGCGATTTCAGAGCATCAAAACTGGAAATATTCTGAATAAGGCAATCTTTATGATATTGACACATACTGCCTCACATTAGCACCTTTGAGTCAGTATTTCATACTTTGGGCATTTAAAACTGCAGAAACAAGCCCCAAGATGAGTCCTTTATTTTATAGGTGGTACCCTAAAAATCAGCCAAGCTAAGGGCCCGTTCCAGTAACTATTTTCCGTCAGAAGTTTGGGCAATTTTGCTCTATGTGGGTCACTTTACATTGGGATAGTCTTGTTCAACTCAGTATGGAGATAAATGACTAGAATATTGGCTCGGAAAAATTGCGTATTTTCGAGCCCTAAAAACTGCCCTGGGTGCCTTTAACTGTCTCGTTTTTCGGAAATATCAGCACGAGTTGCTGCAGGAAATACCCCCGTGGCTGCTGCTGCCCAGCAGTACAAATAAACGATCTTGACTGGACGCTCATCATGAATAATGGAATCGCAATGATGGGAAATACCACGTTATGCATTGTGCTATCACAGACCATGAAGCTACATGATTATAAATGTATTGAAAACACATTAAGAACCAGACGTGAAACACGTAGCGAAAGTAGGTTGATTGATGCGGATCGTCATCAGGCTTGTAAGTTCCAATAATCGTGATTCTATCTGAAACTTGAGGATTATGATTTTAAGTACCAGTTTTCTCAACTAAAATATCATGAATTGTACACTGTATGCATAGACAAGTTGGCAGTATTTGAATCTAATCATAGAAATTGAGATATTATTATTCAACCACGTATAGTTCATTGACCTTTTTAGCATGCTGCCTCTGACCAGAAATATGGTCTGCAATTTACAAGTTTCAAAATTCCACCCAGTGTGGCGCCGAAATCTGAACGACGTAATTCCACGCCGCCATTACCCCACAGAGCATGCAACAATAAGGGACAGTCAGAAAGTGGAGGGAAATAGTGCTCATATAGCGGTTTGTATCGATTTCACACAATAGTGAGAATTAGTTGCCACTTGAATATGTAGTAAAGCCGTTGCCGTCGATCTTCTGCCCCTTTCCGTAATTACGTGCGACACGCTAAGTTTAGCATATCCGCTGCAGCGGGATGCCAATTTGTAGAGTCGATACAATGGAGGATTTGCTATGTGAATCTCTTTGCTGCAGGTCAATAGGGATGTACCGATGTGCCACGGGTAAGCGGCGCTCACTTGTCAGCCGATGCGGTGGGTGTGACAGTGCCGTCCTTCCCTGATGAGGAGGGGACGTGCCCCTTGCGCAGCGCGGCGGGAACCGATTCCTCATGGATTTGGGCAATCGGACAGAGCCGTCACTCCAGCCTGCTTCAATTGAACGCAGGACATATTTTCCTGGGCGTAATTGGAGCTATAATGAAGACAAAGGAGCGGTGACATCATCGGATGATGAAAGTAGACAAGAAGGTATTCACTCTTCTGAAACGTCACCTATATAGCCGTCGTGACTCCAGTAGAGGATGGATACCACCCAGTGACCGACCACGTACTTCTGAAGAAGGTATTCACCCTACGTATTTGTCTGCCTAGATTCTAAGAAGGCGCCCCGACCGAGCCGCAATAAATAAGGAAGGCTAATTGTAAGTCTCTTCACGCAGAAGAAAGTTAGGACCTGATGCCGTGTTCATGTGAAGCCATAGAAACTGCGACTGTGCTCCGCTATACCTACACTGTTGTAGCTCGCTGTTGTGTAAAGACTGCACAGAGAAACAGACCTGAGTATGGCTCCCCGGCAGTCCACCGAGAAACCTTTCAATATCCGCTTCCTGTCATTCCTGCTGCTAACTACCTTCTCCCCGGTGTACACCAACAACTGCCCCAGGATCTGCGTCTGTAGCGGGTCCTTCTCTAACGTGTACTGCGGCGATAGCAATCTCACCAAGGTCCCCAACAGAATACCGGAGAGGGTTGTCTATCTCAACCTCCACAGCAACAACATTAGCAAACTCATCAAGAACCAATTTGCCAACTTGCCACAGTTACATACTCTACAGCTCAGCGCAAACACCATATCGGAGATCGACAACGATGCCTTTGTCGGTCTGGACAATTTGCAAATCCTCGAACTGTTTTACAACAGCCTGGTAGTCGTACCGAGTGGGGCGCTCAAGTCACTGATCAACTTGAAAGAATTATGGTTGGGAGGCAACCCGATAGTCTGCCTGGATGCCTACAGCTTCTCTTATCTGCCTAATCTCAAACTCTTGGATTTGGGGGAACTGAGACAGCTTAGGGGGATCTCGAATAACGCCTTTGCGGGGTTGAGCAGTCTGGTGTACTTGAACATGGGAGTCGCTAACTTGCAGACCGTGCCTTATCTGCAGCATTTAACCAGTCTGGAGGAGTTGAATTTATCAGGGAACATTATCAGGATCCTCGGGCGAACGTCGTTCCAGAGTATGTTCAGGCTCAGACGGCTGATGATTATTTCGTCCCAAGTGAACGAGGTTGAACCACTAGCCTTTGAAGACTTGCAGGCTCTGAGTGAATTAGACCTTTCCTACAACAACCTCAGCACATTACCATACAACCTCTTCGCCGCGTCGACATCGCTGGGGAAGGTGAACCTAAAATACAACCCGTGGAACTGCAGCTGCGACATAACGTGGCTGGTGGAATGGCTGCGAACGAAAGTACGTGATAGAACTTGCGATGCATGCGGGGAGTGTCGATACCCGAAGAGGCTATTAGGAACATCCGTATTTCGTCTTCCAATAGAAATTTTCCGCTGCCCTCGTCGAAAGATAAGCAACTATTCGATCCAGCTAAACGTTACAGAGGGCGAGGACGCATCCTTACCATGCGTGTCAGGTCGGGAGACCGCCATCAGTTGGATAACTCCTAACGGGACGACAATACGACACGGCAACTACGAGGTCCGCGTCAAGGTCTTCAACGACGGCAGTTTGAACATCACGAGAGTGACCCTGCACGACGCGGGCGTGTACCGATGCATCGCGCGTAACCCAGGCGGCAGCCAGTCCGTCATCACAACGCTGAATGTCACCACAAGGGCGTATATTACCGATATACCAGTACTAGAGGAGCCCATGGAGGATGACTTCGATCCCTCCGTGTGCACGCTGGGGCTTGATGACCAGAGCTGGTCTAACGTCAACCTAAACACCACCAGCAGATTGAATCTGACCTACAAACCGCCGACTATGCCCCCTGGTGGTACCGTTTCCGTTGATGAAGATGATGATGAATACGACCCTCTGGCCTCAAGAAAGTTCGACCATTTGAGCGTTATCGTCAGCTCCATCGCCGGCATCGTGGTGCTGGGACTATCTGTCTGGGGGATCTGCTTCCTCTGTAAGAGGTGTCACGACAGAAAACGGTTCCTTCAGAAGAAATGCAAAATGAACGAAAGAACAAAAAAGAAACACGAAGACGACAGCTCGTGCTGCTGTCGGAAGTATTGTTGCTGTTGCAGGCATAAAATGGAAAAAGAACCAGAATCGGTAGAGATGCCGCCTCCTGATATATACAGTATAGACATCAAAGTAGACATTGAAAAACAGCCCAATGGGACGTTGAAAAAGTCAAAAGCTTCAAAAGTTGAGACGCAAGTCTGAAAACTGTGGCTCTGTAACATATCACTTGTATGTAGCTGTATGTACTTGACCAAATGGAAGCAATCTTATAGGAACAAAGATTATTGACAAACTGTAGGAAATCAATAGAGCTGACCCAGGGGTCACTTGGATACAAAGGCAGTAGGTCAACGTTCTTGTACCATGATATATCTGGCATTGTAAGGTTATCATTGATGATGACATGACAGCTTTTCAAGTTTTCAGAGTGTCAAGTGGAAGTGCAAGTAAGTATTAACTGTGGCGGCCATCGCTCCTGAGCCGGCATTACGATAATGTGAGATTATGAGGCAATGTACTATAAACAAGACCATCCAGATGTCGATTATTGTATGGCATTCAAAGAACATAGGAGTAGTATAGGGCTACGTGGTAGCTCGATGACCTAATTGTAAGAAGGGATTGTCAAAAAGGGGGGGGGGGGCTTACTTACAATGTGAAGAATACCCATTTAAAAACTGCTGTCGATGTGGTATATACCGAAAAAAAAAACATCAGAAATTTGGAAAAAAGAACTGATTGAAGCAATTGTTGATACAGGCCTCCTTCAACGAAGAGGAATTTGCTTTTCGACCACCCACGGCACATGATAACTCACAATTGCTGAGTTACTGTGTGTGCCAAACAATTCTACAAAGGTAACAGGATATTCAAGCCACTTTAGGAAAATCAAAGAAAAGTGTTATATTGTGCTATCACTATAACATTCAGTTTTTTCACAGTTGCTTTGTTTCTACGGATTGATCAATTGGAAAGCATTTTAGTAGTGTCTCAAAAACTAGTCTTTTTCTTCATTCCATGATTTTCAAACATGTGTAAATGCGGTTGTGCATGGTCAGCATTTAACCATCATTGCTGTGTCATCTAAACACCGAATGACGGTTGCAGATTAACTTAGGGAATCTATTGTTTATACGGATTGATCGAATGAAAAAGTTTAGTGATGCCTAGAATGCTATCTAAAAGTAGTTTATTCACTCCATGATTTTTAAACATGTGTAAATGCGGTTGTGCATGGTCAGCATTTAACCATCATTGCTGTGTCATCCAAACACTGAAAGACGGTTGCAGATTAACTTAGGGCATCTATTGTTTATACGGATTGATCTAATGAAAAATAGTTTAGTGATGCCTAGAATGCTATCTAAAAGTAGTTTTTTTCACTTAATGATTTTGAAACATGTGCATTGTCAGCATTTCTCCACCATCGCTGTGTCATCCCAAACACTGAATGACGGCTGTAGTAACAGGATATTCAAAGCACTTCAGGAAAATCGAAAGAAACTTAATGCTACTACTATAACATTCATTTTTTCAGTTGATTTGTCTTTTCAGATTAATCGAATTGCAAACATGTTATTTTTAAGCCATTGAGTTGAAAAGAGAACACATGTGTAAATGTGGTTGTGCATTGTCAGCATTTCTCCACCATTGCTGTGTCATCCGGAACACTGACTGACGGCCGCAGATTGACTTAGCTCATCATTGCTATGACTATAATATTCAGTTTTGTACAGTTGCTTTGTTTATACAGATTGATCGATTCGATTGTTAAATCTTTGAAATACACTACAATGACTTTGAACCATGTGTAAATGTGGTTTGCATTGTCAGCATTTCTCCACTATTGCTGTGTCATCCGGAACACTGACTGACGGCTGCAGATTGACTTAGCTCATCAGTATGAAAGTTGCATGGTCAGATCGATCCCAAAGTAACGGTCATCAGCGAGCCATTCTGTTTCTCTCTATAGGATTGATCTGTGATCCCAGTTGACCACTTAACCAGTTTTCAAAAGGTTATTTCCAGGGGTCACCAAAGCCCTGAAGGGGTAGTTCAATAACGTCAAATTGTTGTCTTTGAAACGTATTTTTTTCAGAGAGAGGATTCTGGCGCCATTGCTGCCCTTCTTGGCACTATCTGATTGCCACAGTCTAATACGATATTGGATTGGTATTATTTCGTGTGCGTGTGTTTGACTTACGGTCTATATCTAGTTTATGTATGCCTCCTTTATACGGGCCCGTGTGCCTGGAAAAATGAATAAATGAAATATAAGAGCAAAAATCATGAGTCATCTCGATGTAATTTGATTTCGAATATAAAATGTAATGAAGTAATGGCTGGTGTACAGTATGGATTGGAATATTGAATTGTAAATAGGGAGACCCAAGTGCAGAGAAGATGCATTTCGCCTCGCCACCATTTGAAAAATACGTGGTCACATCTATACTGTGTTATATTGCTGTATCTAATGCACATTATTGTTACGATGTGTTGACGATATATACGTAGTGAAGGTACAGTTAATCAAGAAATATCGACAGCCAGAAACAAAGTGCTGTCGTAAGGTAAATTATTTTTATATCTACTATCCGTAGTGTATTGACTTTCTGTCTGTGAGACCTTGCACTCCCTTTGTACTTTTAACGATCGGCATTGGGGTACAATCTAGGGAAGATCTGACTTCTATCAATTGTGCGAAGAGAAACGACTTCGTTGGCATATCGCCTGTCTCCTGGGTGTAAATTTGTGCGAATATCTGTTAAAGTGTGACAAAAATGTAAATGTTTGAAATTAAAGAATATTACAGAATCAGACTGGAGTTTTTCTTACGTTACGTTTACTGCATGATGTTGTTGCATGGTTATTCAGGGCTAGAAATACTGGGTGCATGTGCACCTTAGTGCACCCAAATTTGGAGCTGTGCACCCTATTTTTTTTTCCTCTGGGTGCATCCAAATGTTTTTGTAAGTATTTTTGTACGTATCAAATGTCTAATAGTAAACAGGATATTCTTGGCATCTAAGTGTCAGAAAAACAATACAATCTTTGTTGTAGTACTTGTGTAAGATTTTGAAGGTAGCTCCCATTTCAGATTAAAGCTTAGAAGAGGAGCAGTAAGATCTATACATAGGTTTTGTTTTGTATGGTGCACCCCAAAAAAATTTTGTGCACCTAATTTTTTAGGTTAGGTGCACTAGTTCCCAAAAATGAATTTTGATCCCTGTTATTGGATGTGAGGAATAGCAGTAACATTGGGAGTGTTTTGAAAAATGAGCCAGTGTTGATGTTAAAATTTGGTGATCGTTCTCTGACATATGGGAAGTAATTTCGGAACACCAATTACTACAGATACATGCATATCAGTACACCCAAGCGTAGCAAAACCTGTCCGAGAGATGGAAAACTTAAGTAATACTGAAATATTTATTAATGAGATATACGTAGAGAAAACACCGGGGATCAGCATGGCTGCCTGAAGAATTTTGATAATGTGAAAAGTTTTTAGACCTAGGCTTTGGGACGAGGAATATTCAAATCAACAACTGGATGTCTTGGAATTTTCAACATCTATCATAGCAGTAATTATCTTTGGGTGAAATAATTAAACCAAGGTAGGTGCATCTTTTTACTTGTTCTCTAAGGGGAGTCAGAATGATAGAATACCAATTTCAGCATCTTCAGATCGTTATTAATCTTTCTGACTCTTTGGGTTAGCTATTTATCGTTTGGGTTGTACACATTTGGGGCAAATCCCAAGTCATAGACGCAGTTCGTTGCCAGCCAGAGTATTGTACAATGTAAAGTTTGAAATTTCAACATCAAACATTCACTAATTCCATTAGAGAGTAAGGATGAATTGGAATAACAATTTGCTGCAAGGATATCGTATTTTATTTAGCAATATCCACCCATGAGAAATAAACTTTTTTTTCTTCTATTTCTTAGTCTCTTCACGTAAGTAAAACGAACGAATATGGAAAAGTCATCTGTGTACACATGAAAGTTTATAACGCAATTTAAAACACACAAATACACACACACACACACACACATACACACACACACACACTCACACA